GTGTGAAAATTGGACAATGGGGAAAGCTGTCAGTAAGAAAATGGATTCATTTGAAATGGGGTGTCGGAGGAGAGTTTTATAGATACCGTGGATGGCCAAAAAAGACAATCAGTGGGTTCTAGATCAAATCAAGCCTGAACTCTTCATACAAGCTAAAATAATTACACTGAGGCTATCATACTCTGGCCACATCATGAGAGGACAAGAGTCATTGGAAAAGACAATAATGCTAGGAAAAATGGAAGGTAGTAGGAAAAGCGGAAGACGCAACACGAGATTGGTTGACTGGATCAAGGAAGCCACAGGCCCTCAGTATGGAAGACCTGAGCAAGGCTGTTAATGATAGGACATTTTGGAGGTTGTTAATGTTGTGGTGAGCAACTCAGCATGCCTACATCACTCTAAGTATGTATAGGTGTTATTTCCCTGAATGGGGATGCCTTTCTTTGTCATAAGCTGGGAGCTGCCCTCTGACCTCTGTATCACTTTGTCCTCTCACACCCTTCACATGGCCTTTCATGGAGACGCATGTATCCGCAGGGCTCTCCTGTAGATACAGTGCCCTCATACTCCCACGCACATGATGCCGTACAAGCTGGCCGTTTGCAATAGGGAAAGAAAGTACTCTTTAGATTAGGCTTCTGTCTCTCCTTTCGACTGCAACCTGAATGTGAACAGAATCTACTTGAATAAATCTAAGTGTACCTTTTTTGCAATATACCTCTTGGGAGATTTATCTACTGCACCCAGTATCACGCTTCTATGACTGAGCAAAATTCTGCTATATCAACCAAATATCCCAACAGTTAATCCATAAGGTCACATAAGTTGTTAGCAACTTGATGGCACGCAATGCACAATTTTTTTCCTGCACTGGCTTATTGTGAGCCACTTCCTTGAGTAGAGGGTATCTTCCTTATGTTATCTGCTCTGCCCTGTTATGGCTCCCTGCAAAGGGGGATTTTTTCCCCACGATTGCAGAAGCATGAGGTGAGTGGTGATCCTGACCCATTCTTTCTGGGCTGGGGCAATCTTGGGGGAGCCAAGCAGAGCTGAGAGTGCTGTCGCCTGGGGGGTGGGGGGGTGGGGAGAAGCAGTGACCATTTTTTGAAGCCAGAGAAGTTCCTAATGTCGAAACAAGCTCTAAAACTTTAAACGGAAGCTCCTGTGCCCCAAATGGTGTGGCAGGTTGGTGCCCTGGGGGAGATGGTTTACCCGCCGCACCCACTTTTGCACCTTCCTCAGGGCCTGTCAATCGTCATAAGGGGGCACCAGACGTCTGAAGGGATGCTGCGCTCACTTGCAAAGGAGGCTGGGCCCTGTTTTATGAACAGACCTCCTCCCACTGTGGTTTAAAAAAGTTCGCAGGCATGACAAGACCAGCTGGCACAGGCTTTTTAAAAAGCCTTTCTCCAAAAGTGATTTGCCCTTTAGGGTAAACATAGCAGTATCTATAGCAGTACCTGTGTGTTTGCAGCAGGGCTTTTTTTAATAGAAAATGCCCAGCAGGAACTCATTAGCATAATAGGCCACACCCAACAGCAGAAACCTGTTAGAATATTAGGCCACACCCCTGATGTTGCAGCTCATTAGCCTATTAGGCCACACACCCCATGCCTTCCCTTGGCTTGCCTAGGCGCCCCGTGGCTGTGGGGAGCCTGGGCAAGGCGG